TGTGCAAGCATTGTGCAACACGTTTTGTTTATGCTAACAGCAACATGACCAACGTCAACCCTGAAATCCCTCATACTCCGTCAGCGCTCCGCTCCGCCCCGCTGTGCTCCAGACCGCCTGCGCATAGCAAAGCCTACGGCCTCTAATGTGGCTCCCGTCCGCTCCACTCTGAGTTCCTTGGAGATGGTAGAGAGCATGCGCGAGATGATTAAATTCAAAGCAGCAAAACGTGGAAATGATCCAGGGTTTCCGCGGATCATTAAAAATAATTACAATTCATAAATTTTATTAGATTTTTGTCATTAATTTGATTCATTTTTACTTTTTCATTCATTTTTATAAATTTTTTTATTTTTCAGTGTAACAATCAACATATACCGAACTGAAAACCGTGACCTCGAAACCATGAACCGAACCGTGGATTATGTGAACCGTTCCACCCCTTATATATATATATATATATATATATATATATATATATATATATATATATATATATATATATATATATATATTTATATTACAGACCAACACATCAATTATTACATGTGGAATCGTATACTTAACAAAAGAATAAAAGAATGTGAAACAACTAAAAAAACATGTCTTATATTCTAGGTTCTTCAAAGTAGCCACATTTTGCTTTGATTACTGCTTCGCACACTCTTGGCATTCTCTTGATGAGCTTCAAGAGGTAGTCCCCTGAAATGGTTGTCACTTCACAGGTGTCCCCTGTCAGTTTTAATAAGAGTGATTTCTTGCCTTATAAATAGGGTTGGGACCATCAGTTGTGTTGTGCAGAAGTCAGATGGAGACACAGCTGATAGTTCTACTGAATAGACTGTAAGAATTTGTATTATGGCAAGAAAAAAGCGGCTAAGTAAAGTAAAAAAAACGAGTGGCCATCATTACTGATGATGGGGTGGGGGTGCTTTACTGGTGAGACTTTGGGAGATTTATTCAGAATTGAACCAGCATGGCTACCACAGCATCTTGCAGCGGCATGCTATTCGATCTGGTTTGTGTTTAGTTCGCCCATCATTTATTTTTCCAACAGGACAATGACCCCAAACACACCTCCAGGCTGTGTAAGGGCTATTTGCCCAAGAAGCAGAGTGATAGGGAGCTGCACCAGATGACCTGGCCTCCACAATCACCGGACCTGAACCCAGTCGAGTTTATATGGGGTGAGCTGGACAGCAGAGCAAAGACAAAAGGGCCAACAAGTGCTAAGCATCTTTGGGAACTCCTTCAAGACTGTTGGAGAACCATTTCAGGGGACTACCTCTTGAAGCTCATCAAGAGAATGCCAAGAGTGTGCAAAGCAAGACATATTTTCAGGTGTTTCACACATTTTTTGTGAAGTATATAATTCCACATGTGTTAATTGATAGTTCTGATGCCTTCAGTACATACACATATAAAGAGTTTTCCTTACCCCTCTATGTAATGCTGTCCTCCCCCATTTGTCTTTGGCTTCTACATTGGCTCCCTTGTTAAGAAGAGAATACACGCAGTCTGTGTGTCCACTCAGGACAGACAGCATCAGTGGGGTCCTAAAACATAACAGAGAAAAAAATGTAAGCAATAGTTTTTTATTGTAAATGTGTAAAAAACACCCAGAAATCTCTCTGCTTACTGGCCGTTCCCATCTTGAATGTCGACAGCACTTTGAAGATCAGCATTTCCAATCAGCAAACGTAAACATTCTGAATGACCATTAGTTGCTGCAGAAAAAGAAAGACCACATGTATTACTATATGCAATGATGCAGATGGACCAGTCTTCAATCCTCAGACTACATACCTGCAGCATGTATAGGGGTTCGCTTCTGGACAAAATCTTTGACCAAGATGGAGGCTCCCTGGTTGATAAGGACGTCCACACATTCTACATGGCCTTTAAAGGCAGCCAGGTCTAAGGGCGTCCGTCCTTGGCTGTTTCTAACATCCAAATCCAGCAGAGACTGCACCAGAACCTCCATCGCTTGGTGGTGACCATGGTATGCCTGTAAAAATATTAACATATGGTCATGTCAAAGTTGATAATATTAGCAAAACAGGAGTCATTAACAGATAGAAAAAAGAACTGCTTCTGCTTGTTTTTGTCAATCTCACAGATTTGTCTAATTTTCATTTGAGCTTCGTAAAATATTACGGAGCATAAAAAAAACCTGGTCTGCAAAAGTTGTGTAACAGCTGACATAAATTGAGATTATATTGGTTCAAACAACCACAGCAAGAAAAGTAATGAATTCTAGACTAATTTCATTTTCTTTTGTATATAACACAAAACCCAGAAGAACAAGGGGCTCTGAGGGACGCTCTGCCTACTGACATTTAGCCACTGTCCACCAGTAGAGGTTATAAGACACCTTTGTTGTATTTAATGGGATTTTTTTCAACATGGACATTTCAAACATCGCAAATTCAGACCTCTTTGGCTTCCCAAAGTTTTATTTCTCTCCATAATAAAACAGCCCTTCGAGCTCTTTCTGCCCATCATTACTCATTCTTTTATTGCTGCGGTGCAGAGTGCCCCTGCAATATTCATTTAGCTTCTGACTATGCTAATTACAATACCTGGTGGTCTTTTCAGTGGCATTAATTACACTCAAGCTGATGCATAATAAAGCAAATCTTAAGTTCTGGCTACTTGATCTCCATTGATTTAGCTGGGAAAATTAACAAGTAAATCAAGTTCTATTTATTTTGCTTTAGGCCTGGGCAAAAAAAAAAAAACTTGATTCAATTAATTAATTCGAAATTTTTGTAGCAGATGATAAACCCCCCCCCCCCAAAAAAAAAAAAAAATTTTTTTTTTTTTTTTGTTTAACGCCACAATTTAGGTTCCCCAGAGCTTCTGTAGCTGAGGTATTACTCCCACGGTGCAGTACGGCAAGTGACATCATGGCTACCGGTGAGAGTGGGAAGTTAGTTCTGAGAAAAGGAATAAAATCATCTGTTGTTTGGAACTGATTTGGGTTTGCTGCAACAGATGTGGAGCAAGACACCCCACGCTGCAACGTTTGCCTAAAAGCAGTCGCAATTAAAGGCAGCAGCACCCTTTTCAGCATCTCAAACACAGGCATCCAACAGAATATGAAAAATGCCGCTCTCTCTGGGACAAACAACCCAAAAACAAACCGACAGACCTGAATTAGAAGCCTAGGCTGAAAGGTGATAAAAACAAACATACCATACTTCCACTGGAAATGTTTGTGGAAGCTAGGGTAATTAGAAAGATGGTTGGCTTTAGCTATAATGATGGGAATTTTCTGATGGTAAAAAGCGGATGTTCTCATCATGGAATGTTTTTATTATAAATATGCTGGATTACTTTTTATCCGTGGACCCTTACGGACAAATGAAATATCAAAAAATCTAAGATTGGATTTATAATACAGCCTCAGGATCGCTTCAAAGGTAGGAAGTTGAAGCTTTATTTTAAAAATTCCAATTTAACATGCTACTATATCTTTAACTGTGCTTTGGGACTCATGGTGTCCATAAAATGAACTATGCAGTTGAAATATGAAGAATCTAAGCTTTCTAAGACTGTATAACATGTCTATATTGGTAAAAGTTTAACCGCTGTTATGATCATGCGTACTGCTGTTTTTAATGTGAATATGCCAAATGGAGCCTTGGCGACTCAGTGAATGTCTAAAAAAAAAAATAAAGAAAAATCATCTTTGCACCATTACCCTGTTAATTTCAAATACTAAGGGGAATCACAGAGAAAACCAACTAGAATGTATAAAACAACAGAAAATAACTAGAAATTAGTGTAGAGTAGGACTGATGTTTGAACGCAGGTTATTTTGCTGCTGCTTACACAAATTTCTGGTTCATAACAGAGTTTGTATAAAAAACAAACAAAAAAACCTAGTGGTATGAAGGTAGCATATGAGACTTCCTAAAAACTCTACTCACAGCAAGGTGCAGGGGGCTGACAGGAGGTCTGACATCAGAATCATTCAGGATGTCTGTCCCTGAGGTTTCCATTAGCTGCACACAATCCAAGTTACAACTTACTTGCTTATCATTGACTGATCATTTTAAAGATCAACATATTAAACATGTAACATACGCCCATTCTCTATGAATGCAAAGTTCAAACACTGACAGAGGAAACAAGTGTAATACTACTCACCACATCTAAAGGTGTTTCACTAGCAATCTGCAGAAAATAATTAAGGAAATAAATCAAATAATATAAACTACATGAAAAAGACCATTATTCTAAATAGCAGGTTTCCCTCACCAGCTCCAGACAAAGACGGTGTCCGTACGCAGAGGCGTAGTGCACAGCGTTGAAGCCCTGATTGTCCCGAATCCCTGGATTTGCATCATTTCTTAATAAATACTCCAGGCACCTGAAAACACAACCGAACAGTTCAGAGAACCACATTGAGGCTAATACCTTTCAAAAAACATACTTTGAATTACAGTCGTACATGTGAACACTAGCTGCTAAAAACACAGATATTTTGAAGGGTTACTGACTTTCCATCTGTGTCGGAGGCAGCGGCGTAGTGGAGTGGGGTGCAGCCCCCCTCATCTAAATCGTTGACGCCAGCTCCAGAGCCCACCAGAGCAAACAGACACTGATAGTTACAATTAGCAGCAGCGTAATGGAGAGGGGTCCTGAAATGCAATGGGGCACACAGGTTGGATACTGGTTCCAATGAGACGTTTGGTCCAAATCAGTCATTAAACACCACAGACCTGCCAAAGTTATCCTTTCTATTAAAGTCTGCCCCAGTGTTCAGAAGAAGATTGAGACATTCCAAGTTCCTATGGGGGGAACAGAAATTACAAAAACAATCACTTTGATATTTATTAATCTTTATTTACAGGTAACCTCGATGGTACAGACCCTCCAGCAGCTGCAGCGTGTAAACAGGTCCTTCCAAAGTCATCTGGAGTATCAATATCAAAGCCTGGGTAGCGTAACAGATAACAAGAAATGCTCAATGATCTTCATCCATAAAAATGTAACATTATAGTTTATCTTTATGTCACCAATAATGCAGAAATAAGAGACATTTACCTGAAGACAGAAGCTTTCGGCAACAGTCTGAGAAGCCGCTGAGAGCAGCCAAATGCAACGGAAACATTCCGTGAATCCCTCGTCTAGAGGAGAAAAAAGTCATATAGATTTCTTTAACCTAATGAAATCAATTACTTGAAGTAACGTGGCAGTTCTGATTTTCTTTTTTTACAAGTTGCAGAAACGTGCAAAACACTTGGAGAAAAGCAGCAGATGGGCTTGCTTACTTCGCTGTGTCAGCTTTGTTAGTGATGAGGGTGTTGATGAGGAGCTCGTGTCCGTATCGAGCTGCGATGTGCAGTGGCGTATTTCCGTTTTTATCTTCACAGTCAATCTCAGCACCTTTAGAAATAAAAACAACAAAGAAAAACAGAAGCCAGCAGTTAGTGCACAAAAAAAGGGCAACAAGAGAGAGCGATGAAGACAACGAAGCAGATTCAGACCGTTTTCAATGATCTCTTGAGATCTACAAAACCTTCCATGGATAGCCGTCATGTGGAGCGGAGTCTTCCCATCTTTACTCTAGAACACAACAAAAAAATACAGAAATCAGAGAGGTAAATAATGATTTATAACTACTGAGTAGAATGCAACTTAAAGGCTGCAGACCAACAGGATTTTTTCCCTATAGATTACTGATAAATTATCTGATCCATCAACCAGTTAAATGCATCAGGTCTGATTTGCAAATATCCCCCAAAAAATAATAATCCGTCCATTACATATATTGCATAATTTCTTTGACTTTTTATATAGTTTGTCACTTAAAAGTGTAACTCATCTTATGTCTAAAACATAACTCCGTCCCAAGACAAGTTTGGAAAATGCCATCAAAGTGCCCGGTGCAAACATAGGAGCAGGGCTAAGTGTGAGGATGAGCCGCTAGTCGAGCCTAGCCTTATTGAAGCAGGGAGAGTGAGCAAAGGGACGCTGGTAGTTACATCTCGGATGAAACTTTTGAGGAGGAGGATCCCCCCCCCATCCATGATGGAGGTTGAGGAAGGTTTTATGGAGCCCAGTAGGCCCAGCTATCAGTTTGAATCACTTGCTTCAAAGCACTGACTTAGCGATGCAGAAGCCAAAGCTGCTAAGGCAGTGAAAGACAGGATGACTTGTTACAGAGCTGTAGTTCTGACTGAGCTGTGTTATAAGGCTGTGATGACGAAAGCCTTCATCAGCATGCACCGTTTCAACCAATGAGAAAATTCTACCACCTGGTGGCAGCACTAAGATGGCTTCAAGCCAAATATTGCAGGGACTAAAATGTTTAACATGAAACTAGAGCTGTGACAGTAGGATGATGTACAGTAATCTACTCCATTGCATTTTAGAGTCTACAGAAACATCTCGGAGTGTCTCAATATTTCCCCCATTGGTGCAGGTTAAATGGCATGCAGTCCACTAAGGCAGCTGCAGGGGACAGCATAGCAGCAGCTCCCCTGTGGGAAATAAGCACCCCATCATTAGCCTGGCCAGGCAGACCTATACGACATATACAGTCTGGTAAGGAGCTGGTAGAGCTTGATTTAAATAAAAAACTCCAAGCGAGGCACCCTGATTTGTCTATGAAACACTTATTGCCGTTAAAGAAACTCTCCATTAACAATTTCTGCTGCTTTAGCCTAAAAAAAAAAGCAAGCCATCATATTGTTATAATAGCAGAAAAGCGCTCCATTATGGGTAACTCTGGCGCTGAAAGTGACGCATCTTATAATTCCGCTTCCTGCGCTGTGACTGGTCCGGCCAGACTGAATCACGCTCCATTCAGTCCAGATAGCGAGGCAACCACATCATATGACAGCAGACCCAAGTAGTAACCATAGCCAATATGAGGTAGCAATAATCGTATACAAATTACACTTTCACTGATATAGAAACAAAGATTAAATGGAATGTTAGGCAAGAATGTGGCTTTGTTAACCTTAAAGATCTCATTGGATTATCAATGTATGGCTTAATTATGAAAGTACTTTGTTCCCTTTGCATAGTTTTCTGTTCTAGCGCTACAGGCAGGTAGCAGGTGATCAACCCTCTTAGCTGGAGATTTAGGCTTCCCCTGGGCATATCGTTTAGAATCTGCCACAGCACTGAATGGAAGTTATACAACTGACCAAGCTGTGGTCCATTTATTAAATGCCCACTTTCCCTTTTTGTGCTAGAAACCACAACAACAGTGGAGAAATAATCCATTCACTTTCAAATCTGTTGATGCAATACTGTACTGTCAAAGGTTAGTGTTTGCAGTGAATGTATTCACCTAAAGCGGGCAAGTGCAAAGTCATTCCTGTTCTGCAGCTTTTAGAGGTTTCTCTAAAAACAGCTGATTCTGATGATTACAGTTCAGCAAAATTCAGTCAATCAGCTATCAGTGGAAATCAACTGTGCTGAAGCAGGGAAACCTCTATAAGCTGCAGGATAGCGGCCCTCGAGGACAAACTTTGGACATGCCTGACCTAAAGCATCACAACTTATTTTAAATCAATACGTTATAATAATAAGACAGCTAAACGTTTAACCCAAGACCTGGCGTGAACCAGCCATATGAAAATGTGTTGCCATTTCAGTCGTTCAATTCTCTCGTTTCAACATAAAGCACAGATTACAGTCTGAAAGTGGTTCCTCCTACCTTTATATTAACTTCTGCTCCGTTGCACACCAGGAGCTCCAGGCAGTGCGCACCTGGGCGAGAGGCGGCAGTGAAATGTAGGGGTGAAAAACCCTTCTCATTCAATTGGTTAACATTAGCTCCACAGTCGATGAGCTCATTCACAACAACATCCTGCCCATTGTAGCAAGCCACGTGGAGTGGTGCGTTTCCATAAGCATTAGGTTCATTGATCTACACAGGAAGACAAGCAGAAAGCAGGCATGTTTACATGAAGGCCCATTTATATAAAACAAACAACATGGCTACTGAAGGAAAAAGTGAAGAGCTTTTAAGCAGGAAACTAATGCGTGTCCGTGGTGTAATGATGAGAGGTATGTGGGTGGAACTTACATCCACCCCTAAATCCAGAAGGTATTTTACAACACTGATCATTCCACTAGAGGCTGCAGCATGTAGGGGGGTGTAGGATTTCTTATCTTTGCAAGCAACCTCAGCTCCATGAGAAGCCAGCAACTTCACCACCTCTATGTGCCCTGAGGAGAAAGAAAAGAGCTCATTATACCCATGCACTACCAAGATGATTTCTCAAAAAGCTTTAAATACTTAACATTCAAGAAATGCATTTTGAAGCAAACAAAAAGAAAACAATTTCAGTTCTTTACCCATATAGGCTGCCCAGTGGATTGCACGACGATCCTTCTTGTCAAAAGCATTAATGTTTGCACCTCTGGAGAGAAGGAGCCTCACCATCTTATGGAAATAAGATGAAAAAAAAGAAAAAAAATAACCATCACAAAAAACTAAACCTCTATAGCAAGAACTGGCCCTTTAACAGTGCACTTTTAAATTATGCATGCAAAGATAAGGGTTTAGCTACTTATCAACATCACGTGCAACAAATATCAGATTTAGCTGAATCACAAAAATAATCCGGGGTGGGAAAACACCACATTGGTAGAAACAACACTGGTTATAAAACTAAAACAGATTATGTCAACATGTGGCTCGAGTTCCAACTGCAAAAAAAAAGTTTGCTTCTTGAAAAAAAAAGTTTATTACACAATAACACTGAAAAAAAAGCTCACAAGCAATTACAGATTGCTCTCTAGCTATGCAACGTGCGTTCAACTATCTTCTAGCCATTTACAAGAAGTTGTGATCACAGATAAGGAACTAATAATGGCCCCTATTTATGTAACAAATTGGTATTAAGCAGATTACACTGAAACCAATGATTAGCACAGGATATAGCAAGAAAACTGTGGCTGCTCTAACACAGCTACCAGCAATAGATTTTGTTGGGTACTTTTTTTTATTGAATTTTCAAAACATTATGTAGTCAGAAGGTACATTCACATTCAGATGCATTCTTTTCTTTTGGAACCCAAGACATCTCAGCCGAATAAATGAGCAGATCTTTCAGAACATGTTGATAATTTTATCACAAATGGGCACAAATGCAACTCTTGTTCCATGTTCCAGCACTACAAAGAGTATTGTGTGTACATCATTGTAAGGCTTCCTGTGGGCTAAAGAAGGAGACCAGGAAGTTATAGTAACAGAAAAGTGCACATAAATATGAGCCTGGCTGGACGTTGTAGAGGGAGAGAAGAACAATGTTATAAGCAGTAAGCTTTTGCATGACTGTAGCAGCAACTTTCAGCTTTGTTGGGCCTTTCCTTGATTTCATTACCTCTAAGTGACCGCTGAAGGCTGCATGGTGGAGAGCAGTGCGGCCTGCTCGGTCCGATACATTCACATTACTGAGGAGAGGGACAAGGGCTTCAGCACAGCGAACGGCTTTGTTGGCTGCAGCGATGTGAAGCGGCGTCTGCCAGTTCTTGTCTCTGGCATTCACGTCTGCAGAGTGTTTCAGCAAAACCTGGACCGCCTCCTGCAAGAAGAAAAAACAAACAAAAAAACGTTGTTACTGTTTATATTCAGCTCAAATTTAACAAGAGAGAGCAAAGGGAGGAAGAATGCACGACACAGGGTCATAGGAGTTTTTGCCTACCTCACAGCAGGAGGCCACAGCTCTGTGCAGAGGAGTCAACCACTTGTTATCTTTGGCATTTACTCTTGCACCTGCAAGGAGGATCAGAGACGATGTCAGAAGGAAAAAAATGATTGAATGAAACTTAACTGACTGGGCAAAAAACTAAAGAGAAGGTGGAATATTAATAACAGCAGTGTGCACATAAATACAGTGAAACTGAAACAAATCTAAATGTAGAATATAACATTTCCGACACACTCAAATGCCTTGTGTGACATGCAAGTTCCATATCCCCATTCTGCTCTTTCACCCAGTCTGCTACATTAGCAAATAAACCGAAAATGGTGGACAGGTGCTTCTATCCACAGCCACCAATGCAAGAAATGCTGCAAAGTCTAAATGTGCAACATCAACTCAATAATGTGTCTCACAAAAGATAAATCTATTTTTTAAGGAAGTTATTGCATTTTTCCAGACATTTAGAGACAAGTGCATGAACCGACTCTAAACAGAAAAGGCCCTTCCAAGTCTTCCAGAGAACAGGATGAAGGGGAGGCAAGAGCGGGCAAATTCATAGAAATCTGGTTAGATGATGGATGCTCAGCAATATGTCCCAATATGAAAAGATCCATCTCCCAGTTTCACTGGAATCTAAATGGGAGGAGATTGACCTTCCAAAGACAACCGGTTAAACACCTTTCATATGTGGGTATCTCAGAGAAGTGGTCTTCACTCATGTTTACATCATTTTGTCAATATTTCACTTTACAATCCTTCAGGAAGTATTATAAATTAGTCCTTAAAATGATTTTGATAAGTTTCAGAGTTGTTAGTTTAAAGGGCCATCATGGATTATTTTCATTGTCTTTTTTTTTTTATGGTAGATTATTTCTGCAGAGTGATGTTAACGTGCCACATCCCCATTATGGTCTTTACCTCTGTAAATTGAAAGGCAAGTACCCTTTTAAATAAACGACATTTTATTCAAAGGTTCAAGTGTCTTTATTTTCACTAAAATAAAATAACTAGTTAATGAATCCAAACATTCTTACATGCTGGGTTTTATTTTCCTTTTATACCAACATGGAAATAAATACAACGTACTTTAAAACTGCATAAAACAAACATTACCAATAAAACAAGAAAGACTGAATATTAGACCCATTAAAATAACTCAAAGTAGACAAACTGAACGTTGAACTGTTTTGGAGAATTGAATAACATAGAGATAGATCATGGTGACCATGTATGAAGGCTATCTGTCCTTGCCCAGGGTTTGAATCATGACTTGCTGCCTCTCTCTTTCTGCATCAAATTTGTAAATACTGTAAATAAAGGCCACCAGTACCACAAAAAAACAAAAACATTTTCTCTCAATTTTGAATATCTTCAATGCAAACACGACAAATGGCCACAAACCTATCCGGCAGTTTTTCGTTTTAAGTCCTCACACACAACAGGAAGAGAAAGATGACAAACAAGTGCTTCATCATCATGATTCTGGTCGTCATTTTGGACTGGACCAAAGCAGATAAAGAACCTAGCTTTAAAGCTAAACTGATACCTGAAAGCCCGTATGAAAACATACCTGAAAGAATCAGTAGCTCAATAATTTCTGCATCTCCAAGATAGGCAGCGGCATGTAGAGGCGTTCGCTTCTCATTATCCTGGGAACAGAGGAACACAGATGTTCTTCATTTAAAGCAAAACAGTTTTAGTTGTTTTTTTCCCCTCCAGATTAACCCTGGCTCCGATATGATAGTGAAAAGCCAATATAGGGAGTCAAAAAAAAAGTCCAATAAATTCATTGTTTTTATCATCACATTCCAGTCGAACACAAAACAAGTGCAAACCAGCCAGACTTTAAATCAAACACCCCACCCCACCCCACCCCACCAGGACAGCAATGGTGAGCTATGCAATAACTAAGCTAAGCCAGTTACACAGTCAGAACTGTAAAGTCAGACCATGTGCTGCTTTGTTTACAACAACTGACAGAAAGTGCTGCACAAGGCCTTTCAAGGACAGCTATACGCTGGAGATATCCAATTCAGTTCTGCTGAGACACATTTAAACTAAAGGCACAATATGAGGAAACAGATGCTGATATAGATGGCTGCTGGGATTACCTGCACATTCACATCCTCTTTTTTGAATATGAGGGAGCGTACTTCATCTGGGTCCACGTTAAAGATTGCTTTCAGCAAAGGAGGCTGTGAAAGGACAGAGTTAAAGTGCATTAAAAACATTTACTTAAAATGCATTTCTGCCAGAAAAGTGTCATATAACATTGTAAACATCAAGCAAACCACAACATGCACTAAGAGCCTTGTAGGTTGTATTTGTTATGCAAACAGCTTCAATGGAATTAAAGATAAAGAAATGGTGCTGAAACCTTAAAACTAAAGAACACCTCCTGGTCTTCATTATCAAGCACCACGATGCAAACGCGGCTCATCTCCTCGCGGATCTAATCCTCTCATTTGAATTGAGCTTTGAATTACAACAAAGTAATGATGCCTTCATCTTCAGTCTGTTTTCAGAAATCCCATCTGTGTTTAGAGAGCAGAGGATTCCTAAAACTGTCAAAACAAAGGCATTCCATCCCACAGAGGTGAATTTAATTCTTCCAATAAAAGCAGCTCCTTATGAAAGTTCCATAGGTGTCCATTTTTACTCTGCTGCAAATAAGGTTGACCAAAAGAAAAATAAAGAAAAAGCATGCAGCTGATCTGACAAACATCTAGAAGGAGCCAAAATCTATAACTAAACAAGAAAAAAAGAAGAGGAAAGAACACATTTTGTTCTTTAAAGTCAGGTTTTTATGCATTGACTGCAACATGGATTGGGGTCTTAAACAGTAGTGAAATAAGCCCAACCCTCTGCAGGATGTCACACAGGGAAAGAGGCATTTGGACAGTCTGTCCTGAACAGGAAAGTAAAACAGGCTAACTATGTGGAACACATTTAAACTTTTACAGAAGGAAAATACTTTCCTTTTCATAACCAGTATGACATAAATGAAAGCTCTCCATGGGCCAGGGGGATTTTAAGAATCAAATTCCAACCATTTCAAAGCTTTTTGCCTGATACCCTAACAAGTAAACTTCTATCATTCCTGTTAGACAAGTGGCAGGAAAACAGCTGCTCCAAAGGATATCTGATGAATGGCTGGCTTTTTAAAAACCAGTATCATTGTTCTTCAGAAAACCTTTTATACTATTTAGGCATGGGGCCTTTTAAAGCTCTGCACCACTTATATCTTTCCTATAGGTTAAAATGATTTAAATAAAACCACAGAGAAAGTGTCAGACTGATCAGGTTTCTACAGCTGTAATTGGCATAGAGCAGGCATGTCCAAAGTCAGTCCTTCAGGGCCACCGTCCTACAGGTTTTAAATATTTCTCCCTAACCCTAACCCTAACCTCAGCACAGTTGAATCGGGTAATTTCAATTCACCAAAGGCCTCATAATCTCCTATCAATAGAAATCAGGTGTACTGAAGCAAGGGGACATCTAAAACCTGCAGGGAAGCAGCCATCAAGGACTGACTTTGAGCATGAGTGGCATAGAGAAAAGCAGCTCTGCCCCAAAATATTTTCTGCTCACTGTCGGTCAGCTTTCTCCAAAGTACGAAAAAAGACAGAAGTAAGGCTGATTTATACTCAGAAACCAGATCGCCTGTGTGCGTCGCAGTGACTGCAAACGCACCCCCGCCCCTACTGCAGACACTGCTGCACCTCTCCAAAATTGTAGGTGACCACAGACAGTGCTGCAGACACGAGGCCTCTCATTGGTCAAACCTTTTTTTTGTTTGTATGAGCGCCATTGTGGAAAACGACTCGTAAAGTTGGACCAGCTAGAAGAGCGAGGTGCGCGAGAAAACTGGGACCCTCTTTGCGTTGCGTTGTGGCGTGGAATAATAGCGCAGACCACGCTTCAATATTGGGCATAAATCAAAAGTATCTTCGACAAGCTCACTGCGACATACTGCTGCGGGAGTTATAACCTGCCCTTCAGCTCTGAACAGCCATGCCGTGGAAACTAAAGAAGTGCCACCCAGCTGTTAAGGATACCCAATTTTATAGTTTGCAGACTAAGAGCAAAAAACAAAACACAGATTCTGCCAGAAACCCCCAACTACATTTTCTATCAATTATTAATTAATAAATTATCCTACAGTTGATGGATCTCATCATTTGACTAACGATTAATTGATAAGAAGCCGTTTCCTTAAAAACTTGTTTTCTTTTATATCAATACAATGCTGAGCAGGGTTCTCATCGGGACTTTTTATGTGCGTAGCATATAAATATATACTACGTTTTTTGTCCTTTATATTCAAAATTTTTATCTATAAATGTTGCTAAAAGTATCTCTTTTAAGATTAACTGAGAAAATATATAGATCAATCAATTATTAGAACAATGGATAGGTGCCGCCCTATTAAATACTGACAGACTTGACAAAGAAATGTTAAGTCTGTCAAAGAAATTAAGATGAAACAAAGCAAGGACATATTGGGTTATTTAATGCAAAAGATGGATAAAATATGTGAAACACAAATGATTTCCAATGTATAGAGATGTAAAACTATCACTAAAAGACAGCGCACATCGCTCTGACATGATGTCAGAGCCGCTTCGTTTCAATGAGGTGGGTGCAAACTGTGAAATGACTCTCAGTTTTTAGTGTATCAGAGATAGCAACATATATGTAACAAAGACTGAGTTATAAAAATGTACAAGCAGTTTGCATTAATATTGCTTTTAATATTTTAAATAAAAGCTTAAAGCCTGGGTTTTTACTTTAATCTTTAACTCTTTACAGAAATAGAGAAGCGTTGTGTAACTGTGTTGTTTTTTTTCAGTTAAAAGTTTTAAAGAATGGCTCGAACACTAATTCAGCTTTTAGACCATGAGGGGCATCACCTTAGAGTCATTTGAAAAAGTTTGGGCACCCCTATTTAAGCTTCATTATTTTTATTTCTTAATATTTGGGTGTTTGCAATACATATTTCAGTTTGATATATGTAATAACTGATGGACACAGCAATATTTCAGTATTGAACTGATGTTCATTGGAATAACAGAAAATCTGCAATATGCATTAAAACAAAACTTGACAGGTGTTAAAATTTGGGTACCCTTATTATTTTATTGATTTGAATACCCTTAACTACTCTTTACTGACTTACTGAAACAAAAAATTAGTTTTTTTATTCATGAAGATTTGAACTTCATAGCCAGGTGTATCCGATCATGAGAAAATTTATTTAAGGCGGCCAGTTGCAAGTTATTCTCCTGTTTGAATCTCCTCTGATATTCATCCTAGGCACCTCAAACAACTCTGAAATGATCTGAAAACAAAGATTGTTCAACATAGCCGTTCAGGGGAAGGATACAAAAAGTTGTCCCACAGATTTAAACTGTCAGTTTTGACTGTGAGGAACATAGTAAGGAAATGGAAGACCACAGGGAAAGTTCTTCTTAAGCCCAGAAGTAGCAGGCCAAGAAAAATATCAGAGGCAGGGAAGAAGAATAAGCTGCAGCATCATCTTGCTGCAGATAGTGTCACTGTGCATCGCTCAACAATTCAGCGCACAATTCAGCTGTGTGGGATAGTGATGCGACAGAAGCCTTTTCTGCAAGCACGCCACAAACAGAATCACTTGAGGTATGCAAAAGCACATTTGGACAAACCAGCTTTATTTTGGAATAAGGTCCTGTGGACAGATGGAACAAAGATTGAATTGTTTGGTCATAAAAAAGGCGTTACACATGGCGCAAAAAAACACAGCTTTCCAAGAAAAACACTTGCTACCCACAGCAAAATTAGGTTGAGGTTCCATCATGCTTTGGGGCTGTGTTGCCAATGCTGGCGCTGGGAATCTTTTTAAAGTTGAGGGTTGCATGGATTCCACTCAATATCAGCAGATTCTTGAGAATAATGTTCAAGAATCAGTTACGAAGTTGAAGTTACGCCGGGGGATGGATATTTCAGCAAGATAATGATCCAAAACCCCGCTCCAAATCTACTCAGGAATTCATGCAGAGGAACACTTACAATGTTCTAGAATGGCCATCCCAATCCCCAGACCTGAATATCATTAAACATCTGTGGGATGATTTGAAAAAGGCTGTCCATGCTCGGCGACCATCAAAATGAACTGGAATTGTTTTGCAAATAATGGTCAAAAATCTCTTCATCCAGGATCCAGAAACTCATTAAAAGCTACAGGAAGCAACTAGAGGCTGTTGCTTTTGCAAAAGGAGGATCTACTAAATATTAATGTCTCTTTTTTGCTGAGGTGCCCATATTTTTGCACCTGTCAAATTTTGTTTTAATGCGTACTGTATATTTTCTGTTAGTCCAATAATCCTCAATTCAATACTGAAATATAACTGTGTCCATCGGTTATTAGATATATCAATCTGAAATAGCTGTTGCAAAGACCCAAATATTTAAAAATAAAAATGGTACCCAAACTATTTCATATGACTGTAATAGATAAATTATAACACTTAAGAGATAATTAAAAAAAAGCTGATTAAAACTGTATGGTAACCATCTCCTGCTGTGCATAAAACTGCATCTGATATATTCCTTGTCCCTCAAATTAGGAACAAAGCTGCACATAGAATTACATTAATTCAATGAGACGTACCCCCGTTTAACCCACCAGGCCGCCCAGCCATTCTATTATCTAAAGTGCAGCCATGCATTTTGGAGGAGGTCATGTAGAAAACATGTCTTCTAGCATGTATGGCAGAGCTTAAGCAACTAACTATGAGTTACAAGTAAAAAGAGAACTAGCAAACCCTAAACTATGCTCATCTTTCTATTCTACTTCCACATTTGCAGTGACTAATAAGCAAAAATGCAGGTTTAATAAATATTGGTTTACGACATATACAAACATACTGCCGCTTGGTCAAGTATTGACCCCATGAACTGTCCCACATTTTGTAACGTTACAACCACAAACTTTACTCTGTTTTATAATCATTGTATGCACCAGAACACAAATAAGTGTGCAATAGTGAAGAAAAGTTAGGATGTTAGAAGGAAAAATCTTTTAATGCCAATATGGCTGCATATATTATAGGGTGTGTGTCAACCTGCTTCACATATCTGGATAAATGAAGATTTATGGAGTCAACAGTAAACAGTTGTCCTCTTAACAGAGCTTCCTCCCTGAGCTGTTTAACTCATCGGGCCCTCCAAGGGCCTATTGGCATTCTGCTTCCATTTATAGTTGATGGCGAGAATAGTAAGATGTCTAAAATCTGGGATACAGTTTTCTAATCTGATCAGGTTTTAAACTTCCTCAAAACTTATGCATGACTTTAAATTACAAGCAGATCGCCTGGGTTTTACTAATTGAATAAATTTGACATTTGACTTTATTTTGGGGTACCAAAGAAGAAGAGACCCAAGTAAACAGAACCCCAATCTTTCAGATTTTCCTTTATTAACTTTTTAAAAAACATGTACAACTTTAGTTTCACCACATAATTATATTCTACTTTTTTTGTTACAGCTCAATGTCCTAATCTGAATGTTGTGAGTAAAATGTCTCAGTTTCCCTCCTATACCAATGTACCCTTAAGGAAGGTAACCGTAAACTAACACCAAATTGCCCACCAATCTCCATATTGGTATATCGATCGGTGCACATGACTTGGATGTAAAGTTCTTAGCACTGAGAGAAAAGCTTTTTTGTTTAGTTTACGGCATTACAAAAGTGGAGAAAATTTTAAAAAGGTATGAACACTTCTGCAAGGCACTTTAGGAGTTATAGGAACTACTTTAGTTTAAAAGGAAGCAAGTAAATAAAATCTTTTCCTTTTGTCAGAGACAGACATGATCGAATCGCTGCATAACAAAAGATGAGTCATTTCCCTTCTTTCCAAGGACTTTGTTTCATTTTACAAAAATGCAGCTAAACAGCATTAGATGTATGGACGGCATAACTTTTATGCAGCCTTTTCAAAAACACAAGCGCTGATAATGAGGATTGTCGATGTCTGTTGGGCAGAGGAAAGGGGGGTAAAGCTGCCAAACTGTTTATTTGTAAATCCTCCACACAGAGAAGGAAAGATCTGCATTTAGCTATTTATGGTTCTCTAGTCCCGGACAAGTGTTGAGGGAAATGTTCCACGCTCCTTTCTACTGTGTGTGTGCATCTCCTCTCCTCACGTACAAGCCAGGCCACTTAATACCATCACCATGGAGACAGCTCGCTGGCAACTCCAGTGGCCAACAGGAGCCCCAGCCACATGATCATTCAGGCACACAGACAATAAAGGACACATACACGTTTATGTGACAAGAATAGCATGCGTGTGCAAGAAACAAACCCTTCAACTGCAGCAGAGAGACCCTTTCTCTCTTTCAGAAGTAGGTTTTAACTGTTAAACATAGCAAAAAAATAAAAAGGGATCCATATCTGGTTCCACCAAAATACCAGACAGGTCATAGAAATTATACTCATTAAGCTCTGGGATACACCTGCATCACTGACATTCGTGTAAAAGTTCTTAAAAGGCTCCAGAAAAATGTGACACATAAAACGTAACTTCCATAGGATAATAAAAAATATTAAATGACTCAATGAAACGTAACTTCAGACAAAAATATAAGTTGTAAAACCTTGCAGTCGAAAATGAAATGAATGTTTCCAAAGTGTAAATAAAGCCTCGGACGTTTAGTTCCAATATCAACAGATCGCTTCAGCTCTAATGGCAGTCAACCCACACTTCTTTACATGGATTTAACCACTGATATCCACCGCATATTTACTTTGAATGACCACTTCAGTCAATTTTCTAAGTGCTGCTTTATCTTAGTGCCCTACATAATTACTTCCTATGCGAGAAGCCATCATTTCACGTCGGCTCTGACTAATTGCTGGGGATAAATACCACATCATTGGCTGGTTTTAACTTCGTAACAGCTAATCTCTTACTGATGCTAACAACAGGTTTTCCAATAAATATATCATACTCTAAAACTATAACCCGCTAATTTTTCCTCATTTCGCTGCAGTTTGGTTAATTAATTCAGGAAATACATTAAAATGCTTCCGTTTCAGAGACTAGCCTCGGATTTACATTCCGTTGGCGAATGCCGAAATTGGACGAAGCTAAGCTAACATTAGCCATTTTTGACGCAAAATACTGACTTACCTGGTCTCTTATTTTGAGAACCACCATATTTCTGTAATTTTAACTGTTCTCGTGTAGATTCATAAAGAAAGGTTAGTCACTTCCCCGTCGATCTTTCTGACAGAGGCCTAACTAGACTGTAGCTTAGCTCCAGCGTTAGCTTCCTATGCTGATGGCATGAAAGCAGAGATGCAGCGGAAACTCCATAACATTGCCGCCACCGTATTTCACCCCCTCAAAAAGACACGCCGCGATTGGCCAACTGAGCTCAACGTGTTAACAAAACGCTTTTTCATTGGTTGTTGCTCAGACTACTTTTGACAGACGCATAGTTGCATTTCTAAGAACGCTCATACAGATGTTCTGTAAAAAAACACTAGAAACTATTTTTAAACTATTCCAATTTGACTGTTTTAAGCAACCATTCTTTACTTAGTATAAATGCTGTCTTCGTACCAGTAAAGCACATTTCGCATTACTCACGTAAGAGTGACTCACCCTTATATTTCATGAGGGCAAAAAACCAAGTAGCCAATTTCCAAAAGAGTCGTTAGTAAATATTAATATAAGTGCTATGGAATAGTTTTTTTGTTCTTTTTTTTTTTTTTTTTTTTTTTTTTTTTCAGTTAATTGATATGGTCTACAACTTATTATAAACATTTTAAACATAAAATGTATACAGTATATTGTACANCAATTTCCAAAAGAGTCGTTAGTAAATATTAATAAAATTTTTATAGTTTTGTTTTTTTTTTTTTTTTTTTTTTTTTTTTTTTTTTTTTTTACAGTTAATTGATAAGATCTACAACTTATTATAAACATTTTAAACATAAAATGTATACAGTATATTGTACAGAACAATGTTTCACATTTGAGCTACTCTTGCCCTCTAGTTGTTTACTCTAGAATTACGCTCAAGACTGAAGAAAAATGTGCATGTCTTAAACCAAATGGTTACTGTAATGCTTTTCTTAGTTAGTCCATTAATAAAGTATATTCATTTGTACTAACCTAATACACATGGGAAGAACATCTAGTCAATCTGTTGCAAATATTGTTTAAGAACTGCACAAGGCTGCATGATAGTTCTAAATGCCACGGTGTCTAATCAGAGATTAATGCAGTATATAAATAATTTTTGAAAGGTGTAGCTACAGAAGCTTGTTATTAAAAGCCTGTGATTTCCTGTGCACCGTAAAAACAGGATAGGCAGAATGAAAGGATGTAAAAAAAAAATAAAAAAAAAATGATTGTAATCATTTATATTTTCCAATTAAATTCTTTGCATTCAAATTAAATTCGTCCTTACCGTTTAATCCATCCTCTATGGAGCTGTGGGCTGCCACCGTGCAACTCTCAGGGAGCCTTCTAGAGCTAAGGGTTGTTGCTCATGGGGCTAAAGTGGCATGGTGTGGGATTCAAACCACGGACAAAACTGCTTGACTTAAACCAATATTTTACTACTCCATTGGTAGTCTACATTAGGTATTGTGATTTCTGTGACCAAAGGTTTCTGTTACTGTGACAGCCCACCAACAGTCTCAAATGCAATCTATAACATTTAAACTGTTGTAGTGACTTCATGAAGGCAACCTAAATCAACATGTGGCATATATATTAACCATAAGGACTAAGTGTTACACTTTTTATGCAATTTTGATCTTTCATAGTCCAAGTTTACTTCTAGCACCTTACAAAAGTTTAGTTTAGTTTAGTTTATTTAAGATCCCCATTAGCTGTAGCAAGCTACAGCTATTCTTCCTGGGGTCCAAAAACAAAATATGAAATCAAAAATTACAAATGAAATAAAATTATGTGGGCATTAAAACAACATCTCCCATAATCTATACATATATACATACACACATATACACATACATATATACATATACATATATACCCATATACATACACAGAAACAATCCAAACTAATCAAAACAAACTACAAAGCACAGCAAGTATGCATATCCTTTGCATTTTTCCAATTTTGTCCCATTAATACCCCAACCATTTGGATTTTATGGGATAGAGCAACACAAAATTGTGCATTAATATAATCTGACTGAATCAACTGCCTTTAGAAATTACGTGCATAATAGAAAAATAACATCTTTATTAAATGCTCTGAGTAAAAATACAGTAAGCCTCAGTGTTGTAAAGTATCATGAAGAAGAAAGAACCTGACGGGTCCAGGATAAAGAAGTTCAAATATTAAATGAAGATTTAGGTTTTATTCCATCTAAAAGCACTGTCCAAATCATTGTTTAAATTTAGAAAGGTTATGGCAAAGCTGGAAACCTTTGATTCCATCTCATTCACCTAAATTAAAAGGCAAGGCATGGGAGAACAAGAAGCCAAGGGCCCCATGATACAGCTGAGCAACAAGGATTCATTGCTCAAGTTAAAAAATATGTTGAAAGAACAACTATGGGTTGTTCACTCCACAAATCTGACCTTACTGGTAAAAATACGAGGCCTTTATAGCCAATATGTTATATGTGTTGAGAAACTTACATTGCACATCAACCTGAACTCACTATCCTCACTAAAACATGGTGATGGCAGTGGCATGCTGTGGGAATGCTTTTTTGACAGCAGTAATAGGGAAGCTCAGAAATGATTTAAAAAAATGGATGGAGCTAAATAATCTTTATCCTAAAACCACAACAATGCATTTTGAAGTTTTAGGCTATAACATGATGGAATGTGGCACAAGGTCAGGGTATGAGTACTTTTAGGTTTACTGTATGAGTACACTGTAATTAGGTGTCAAGTTTAACAGCTGATCACTGTTCAGTAGACATGTATACAATTTGGAAAAAAAGCATGTCCAAAAAAAAAAAAAGTAATTAGCAGACTTGAGAAAGAATGTGGGATATGTCCAACAGCTTTCCTGGGTGGTCTCATATTTCAGTGCGATGGCGATAAAAGAAATGAAAAGAGGGAGAAAAATAATGTTGGAGCTATGCGGGTAAGGTTGTTTACACTCTGGTCACCTTTGCTTGAGGTAATCCCCCTGGATCTGTCACTAAACCCCACAAAAGCCTTAGCGACCCCCCTCTCCCTGAAAGGAATACTTTCTCACCAGGAGTGGCTGTGATGGAGCTGTGATCCCACAAATCAAATTAGGAGGAGGTGGAACAGTGAAGAAAAAGCACGTATGAAGAAAACAGATACTTATGTGCATTCCTTTAGTCCCTGCTTTAAAAGTGCACTCTGACCCCATGTTTTCACCGCACTGAGGTCTAGAGGTCTAAGTGTGTGAAAGACTGAGGCTATAAGTCGGGCTAACACAGCAAAACAAGCACAAATCCAAGTGAATAACGTTGGTTATTAAATTTAAATTTTCTTTGTGTTGCACATAGATTTATTTCTTTAAAACAGCTACATGCAGGGAATTCAATATTTGACAGAAGAGTATAGAAAAAAATATTTTGTTCTGTCAAACATTGAACTGCTAAATTCTACACATTTATCAGGTCTAAAAGGATCCAAGTAATCTACTGAATAATGACATGGTTCTTTGTTTCTAGATAACAGCTGCGAAGTCTTGAACCAGCTACACAGATGTGCATGAAGGGTAGTGAGGTTTGGCTCTCACAGATGTCTGTCTAGATGTCACGATGAGATAGATAGAACACATCTGGACAATTAGGATCCTTGGATGAAGGCAGTGTCACTCGGCCGATCAGGCCCAGCGGCTGTGGGGCGATGCAACGACCGGGAGATATTGAGATTGCATTCGCTCTTACCATCACCTTGCTTGCAAAAACAACAAAAACAATTCAGATAAAAGGTAGTCGATCTCTTCTCTAAGTATTTCTGTGTTGATGTTTCTATGTGTTTTGGAACACAAACTTTGTTCTTGACCAGGTAATGACTGATATGTTTTTTTTAATTTTGTAATTTATAGGGTTTTGTTTATTTTCTGTTTTATTTATTGCCTTTTGAAGGTAAACAGACCCACAGAAACACAAACATTTCAACGTACTTAACAACTAGAATGAAGGAACTTCACCTATGTGCACTTTCTCAACCTAACTTTCTAACTACCAAAGCACACAGTCACGGATTACAAGTGTCTATGTCATGCAGCAAATTCCACATCATTATATTTACAAAGGTAGGATCTAAAATACTTTTTTTTTTTTTTTTTAAATACCTCCTAATCAACCAGCTGGCATTCAGATATTGTTTAAAGGTTGTTTTGGATAAATGTCACCTCAGTATTTCCCCTATTTGCTCTACCTCTCTAAATCTTTGTTCTTTTTGTTTCTGCATTTTTTATTTTATTTCATTTATTTATTTTTTTTATTTTATTCCCACTTGCTTTGATTCTGTTTTATTTTCCTATATTTTAATCATGTAAAGCACTTTGCATTGTCTTTGTACTGAATTGTGCTATACAAATAAATTTGCCTTGCCTTGCCTTGCCTTGCCTTTATTACTTCTTTTTTTCATTTGTAAATCGCATTTATTAATTAAAGCTTAATAGCCTAGCCAATGAGAGAGCTAATTAAGTCTGAGGAGCCAATGTGAATGTTTAAACTGGTTTTCAGTGTGCTCAGGGACCAGAAGGGTCCCAAAAAACATAATCAGAAAGGGTGAAGTAAAAAGAAATTTCAGCTGCACAAATAGTATAAAGAATTATCTTTTAAAATGTGTGATTAGGTTATTTTAACTTATTTATGAAATGTGTTTTTACAATCTCTATTCAGATATAGGATTTGAAAATAGATTTTCAAATCAGTATTTGAGTAGCAGTATTTAATAATAGATTGATAAATACAATTTGAAATTCCTCTTTGATCATTCAGTATAGAATGTAAAATTGGGAAACCCTTTTCAAATTGTATTTCTAATAGTATGATTTAAATGTTACATTTTAAACGACTGTTTTTCTTTTTCAGTGACTCTCCTGGACCTTCATATTTTCCAGCCATGTATCTAGTAGTGAAAATAGTTATCTATGATGAGTCATATTTATGTCCCTATAAAACTTTGAGTAATTAGATTTTCCAGGAACTCTTAACTCAGTAAATCGTGGTTAATTATTATCAATTGTACATAATTCATTAATCTGCTACCTACATTAAAGGTTATATTTTTCCTGAATATTTTGGTTCAGATTATACTACTATAATAAAATATGAATCTACTGTCAGGCACATCTTTCCCAAGGTACACTGTCACAAAGCATTCTATTTTGGTTGACCTTGGTCTCCTG